TATCAACAAAAAGAAAATAAAATTTTAACCCTTGGACAGATAGGCAACATCATGATAGATTGAGAAAAGATTGAAGTTGTCAGTGATTCCATCTTACTTGGATACACAATCAACATCCTTGGTACCAGCAGTCAGGAAAGCAGAAGACATACTGCATTGGAAAATCTACCATCAGAGACCTCTCTCCAAATTATGAGCAGTGATGTCAGTTTGAAGACTAAAGTGTGCCCGGTTCAGGTCATGGTTTGTTCCATCACTTTCTCTGCAACTGAAAGCTGGGCAATCAATATGACAGGAGAACGGATACTTTTTTGAGCTGTGGTTTTGGAGAAGAGTACTGAATATGCTATGGACTACCAAAAGAACAAACAGATATGTCTTAGAGAAAGTGTAGCCAGAATGCTTCCTAGAGGCAAAGATGGCAAAACTTCATCTCACATACTTTGGGCATATTGTTAGGACAGGCTATTCCTTGGATAGGGACATCATACTTGAAAAGAAGGAAGGTAGGTGAAAAGAGAGGAAGACCTTTTATCAGATAAGTTGACACAGTGACTAACTGTAGCAATGGTTTCAAGTTTGGCAGAAATGATAAAGATGTTACAGGATAGAATAGAATTTAAATCAGTTATTCATAGAAGATTTATGAGATGTAATTCAAGGGCACCTAATAACAGTTAAAAACTATGTTGCTCTCTCAATCTCTTCCCCTCCTTGTCCCAACATTTTAGTCTAAAACTACTCAGATATAAAATCCCAAGAAAAAGCAAATAAAATAATTTCAGGAGGCAAAAGTCACATCATTAATAATGCTATGCAAGATTCCCTCATCCCCTCATTGCTGTCAAGCTGGACCCGATTCGTAGTTGACCCTCCAGCAGATTTTCAGAGGCTGTATGTCACAGGGAGGAGATTATTTGTCTTTCTCCTACATGCAAGATTAGACAATGTGAAAATGAAACTTTCAAAATATATTATAAGGATACATAAAGTTTTGATAGTTTCATTTTATACTTTCTACGGAATGTCATTCTGCTGTTTGTGGTAGAACGCTTAGGCTGTAGAATGCAGAGACTATAACAGTAATTAACATGATTTTAGGACCAACAAGTCTCCTTATAGGCCTAGTCTATTGTTTGACTGAAAGTTGAACTACAGAAATGAGTTTTAGTCTAGATTTAGAGGATGGCTGAGGGCAGTAACATCAGAGTTTCCACCAGTCTCTGTAAGACCACTGAGCCCGGTCTTTTAATGTGTTTTGTTGTTATGGTGGTGGTGTTTTTTTTAAATTTTGTTTCCAATTTCCCACCACTCTGTCCAGGATCGTCCACTGTGATCCCTATTAGAGTGATCAGCTGCGGTTGGTTCTTTAGTGCTTTAAACTTATTGTGTTTAGTACATCTTGACTTTCTTTCCTTTTAAATTGAGCACAAAGACCAACAGTAGCACTTTGATGGCTGCTCAAAAGTTAAGACCCAGTCACCCCTCTCCAAAGCAGGATGAAGAACAAGATCTAGTTTTGATTTGTTTCATGCTGAAGTGCAATTTATATTGAAGGCTGAAATCTTTGATCAGCAGCAGCAAATGCTTCAAGCCTTCTCTACACTCACTGTTGATGAACAATATGGAATATATCATGAACTGCCAAAGAACCAACAGATCCGTCTTTGAGGAAGTAGAGACGGAATGCTTCTCGGAAGGAAGGAAGGATGGTAAAACATCATTTCATGTGCTTTGTAGATATTATGAGAAGACAACAGTTCCAAGAGAAGGACATCTTGGCTGGTAAAGCAGAGATGAGCAAAACAGAGAAACCTTCAATGAAGCAGATCTATGCAGTGGCTCCAACAATGGGTTAAAAAAATGTCAACAATTATAAGAATGAAGAAGGACCTGGCTCTCTGGCTCTCTTTCATTGTGTTGTCTGTGGCATTATTATAAGCATATCAGCTCAATAATACCTTAAAACAACAGCACCATACATTGCTTATATTTCCTACCCTTACCCCTACTTTACGACTTACGCACATACAGTATCTTATTCATACTATGACATGAAATGGGGGTGGGGAATCATATGTAGTTTTATGCCTACACTTAAAAACCCCTAACACTATTTCATCTGATTGAAATTTTCTTTTGAAGCTATTATGGAATGTTTTTCTTTAACTCCAGAAAGAACGGTGCCAAAATCATATGAGATGGATTATATAACTTACTCTACGTATTTTCTGGAGAAAAATAAAACCACAGCAAACCATATACCCCCCATGGGATATATTTTTCAGTATATTTCAACTTTTTATTGTATGTCTAGCCTAAATCTTTCATGCTACAATTTAATTTTGTGTTCTTTTGTCTTAGAAAACATTCCTCAATGAAAAAGAGATGCTACAATAAATCACTGAAAAAAGTGGATGTATACTCTCAAAGACAATTTTTAAGAGTGTCTGTGACCTTTGATCCTTAGAGTCTAGTGATAGAAAAAGAAATATTTTATCTTAATATTTTAAAAAGTGACATCTTACCATTAATTAGCAACAGTTTTCTGGTGCAGTAAATATAGCTCAGGTGGAAGAATAGGTGGTTATGAGGAGAATTTGGGCACATTCCATGTAGAAACCTATTGGAGTAGCATTTCCTGGTAGAAATTATTGAAATTAATTTTAATAGTGCTTCAAGCCCAGCACCCTACTTTATCCTAAGTTTCCCCACAACCAGTATGTTCTTTATACCAACTTAATCAGGGAGCCTGTCAGTGAATGACATTTGTATATTTTATAATTGCTATTCCAGGGATATGATGAACCCTGGAGTAATGTACTGTGCTTGGCAGCAACTGCCTCAGCTCTTGGGCACATATGCTTCAAATCTTAGAATATCATAGATATATATGGGCATCTTTGTCGAGAACTCCGAGGCAAGCTGGTATTTAACGCAAAAGCAAACCCATTTTGAGCTAAAGCACTTTCCATTAGGCAGTTTGGCGGCTGTTCTACAAGGCAGACTCACTGTGCTCGACGGACACATTTCTATTAAATGCTGCTTTGTATTCTTCCAAAGATGGGAACAATAAGGACGTTTGTCAAAGGAAAAACTGCAGCAAACGATTTCATGGTGAACATCTGTACTCTGCGGTTCATTGTTTGCAAGAGTTTATTGACCATAATTTTGATGCATATAGGTTTTAAAGAGTATAAACTGCATTTATCTTAGGCGCCTATCATTTGTTTGAGTCTTGGCTTATTTATTTCCATTTTTCTGGGCACTTTATTTATTTGGGGGCTCCATGGAGATGAAGGAAAAGATGTTTCTGAAAAAGGAAGTTTTAGTCAGCTCTGCAAAATTGATGAGGAAAGACAATGTTTTCCCAAAAAGAATTGGGCAATTGAATTGAAAAATGAAACACTAAGCATATTACATCTTTATGATACCTTTCAGTCTTAGAGAACTCAAACCAATTTATAAGTTTTAAGACCACTCTTCAAACTCTTGTCCAAACACATCAATTGCAGGAACATTTTGTAGTACAACGTAGCTGTTAATTAATGACTCTGTGAACATGATACTGACTTAAATTGTTTTCTTTCCTTTTATGAATGTATAATTTATTATTTGAAGATGTGAATTTTCTTTTTTGCATTGAATAGGGAAATACAAAAGGCGCTATTAGCCAACTTGCTAAATCAGGCTGGCTTTATCAGTCATGACTAGGTAATTGGCCTAAGTAGGTGCTACTAAACAAAATGTTGCCATTAGGTCAATTCTAACCCATGGCAGCTGTGTATGTTTCAGTATAGACATTCCCCTGAGGGTTTTCTTAATGAATATCTCCACGGAAGTTTTCCAGGCCTTTCTTCCGAGCCACTGAGTAGATTTGAAATGCTAGTATTTAGGTTAATAGTTGAATGCAAACCTTTTTCTCTATACAGGGACCTACATAAGATACCCAAAATACCGACTGCTATCAAGTTGGTTCCAACTCATAGGGAACCTCCATCAGGTCTTAACAGGAGGAGACTGTTCATTTTTGTTCCATGACGCTGCTGGTGAATTTGAAATGGCAACTTTTTTGATCAGAAGCCTGATTGGTACATGATGCACTATAACACCAGGGCTATTCACTCACTCATTGCCCTCAAGTCAGAAACAAATTAGAAACTGACACTTAAGCAGGTTTTCAGAGGCTATATAGCACACAGAAAGAGATTGCCTATCGTTCTACTATGGATTAGCTGATGGATCCAAATCAGTTGCCTTTGGTTTGACAACACAATTCCTTACCCACTAGGCCACCAGAGCTCCCTGGGCTACCGATTACTTAAAGAGATGAGGTATGTAGCTGGTGATGTGTGCTGTTGAGTTGGAAGCCACTCATAGCTGACACTCCAGATTTCAGAATTTCAGAGGCAATAAATTGCAAGTGAGAGGATTTCCCATCCTTCTCCTGTGGAGCAGTGGGTGGGCTCAAACAAGGTGCCTTTGGTGCAATCCATTTAATAATAAAATAGACAATATATGGTAAAGATTAATAACGCCAATGTAAAAATATAACAGATTGAGCCATCATCTCTGCACCAAGTAATTTACACTTATATGAACTTATTTTCTCATTTCTAGAATATAGTTTGTTTTATAAAGTTGTATACTAGTTTATATAATAAATTGTTTAAGAAAACTAGTGTCTTACATATAAGCTTTCAATATATGTTATTGTTTACTATCACATTGGAACCGACCCAGAGCTGACCCTCCAGCAAGTTTCGGAGGCAGTTAATCACAGGAGAGGAGATTGCCCATCCTTCTCCTGCAGAGCGGCTGGTGGCCTTGAAACACATTTATTTATTTAATCCCAATCCTTGTTTAAAAAAGCATGATGGATTAACTCACGGCTTTATTTATTTTTGCATTTTTTTCCCAGCCACTTCCTTGTAGAGAATGTGTGAACAAATATTTTTTAATGAAAAATTAACCTTTTTTTTTAAAATCTTTGTTTATAGGATATACACAGGCAGAAACTCAAGATGGTCATGTGACCTTCTCCAATTTGGCTGTATTGATCTCTGGGTCAAACTTGCACTTTATTTTTACTGTCACTTCTCCTCCAGGTAATTTCAGCACAGTGGTTCTTTCTCTTTCTTTTTTTTTTTTTTTAAAAAAAAACTATTATCTGTTTATCTTGTAAGCTATTATTTGTTTCTCTTGAAACTGTGATTTGTGTTGTTTATAGAAACTTACCAGTAGCACTTGTTCTTGAGCAGGCTTTGTAAGCACTATTGCTAAACAACTATTTTCTTATGCTTTCCCTCCATAATTGAAGAGATAAAGCATCATCTAACAATGTTTTTAATCATATTTTCACTGAAATATTTTTCATAATTTCTGAGACCATATGTGTTTAATGAGCCTTTATCAAAATGAGACTTATAACAGTTTATATCATAGAAGGAAGTGTTGCTGTTGTTGTGGTTATGTACCATCAAGTCAGAACCAACTCATAGCTGAACCTCCAGTGGATTTTCAGAGGCTTTAAATCCACAGTGGAGATTGACCACTTTTTGCTATGGAGCAGCTGATGGATTTGAACCATTTGCCTGTGGATTGGCAGTGTAGCCCCTTATCTCTAGGCATCCAGAATTATCAATAAATGACAGATAAAAAGAAATTATGGTACATTCACAGGATAGAATAATATGCGGCATATAATTTTTGAAATTATTACCTAACTTGGGAAAGAATGGATCACATTATGCTGAGTGAACTAACTCAGTCCCATAAGGACAAATACTATATAAATAGATAACTAGTAATGAATGTATGAGCATCTAAGAGTGGAGGGTGGGAGCAGAGGGGTAAAGACGGGTGCAGGGTGGTAATCATAGGGTAGCACAATTTGATGGGTGGAGGCAGGGATATATAATGAAAATGGGAAAAACCTGGTCTGAAAAACAATGTACATGAACTTTATAAGTAAACCCATATAGAAGAAAAATTTTATTTAGAAAACATAAATAAAATACAGTAAGAACTATGTAATTCTATAGCAATTTATAAATATGTTTTTTGACAGTACATGCCTTGCAAGTGACTCTTAGGTCTGAGTCTGTAAATTCTCAGGACTAGGACTGTTTTGAAAAGTAACTCACATTCATATGTTTAGGCTAATCAATGGTAGTTCTTGTTTTTAATAGGCTTCAAAACAATGAACAGGACAGTGATTCCTGTTGTTATTGTTTCAGGGTTTATATATTTTTATTTCATTTATCCATGAATTACTCAAAGAGAATTTGCATTCATTTTGGTTGTTTCTTGCTTGCTTCAATATTTTAGAGAAAAGACAAAATCATTATTGTGTTAATATTATTGTTGTTTGCCTTTGAGTCAAGCACGACTCATAGCAACCCAATGAACAAAATGCCTGAAGCCCTTCCACAACTATCGACATTATCAAAGTTCTTAGAGGTTCCAGAGGCAAGTTGTTTAGAAAGCGGATTTTTTAAATTAAATATCATATAGAAATTGAAGATCTGGGAACCAGCCGAGACTTGGGACTAAACTGTTAGGACTTTGTCCCTTCCCTGATCCTCTTGTCTTCTCAGGCAAGATCAACTCCTTCCCAATCTGCCTCAGAAGAGAAGATATCTACTTGGGTTAGCATTTACGATCAATTGAGCCTTGATGACTAAACACCGGTGACCTTGCCACTTTCCGGAGCTTTTCTCTGCTCTGGGATCAATGCCCTTCCAACCAGTTATGTAAGTACTTTGATTGATCATTAGTACCCACCAACAGACACTTGGGTGACTACACTGTTCAGACCTCATCACTTCCCTGGACGTGCCATTCCCTGGAGCACACCTGTGGATTTGTCTGCTTTTGGAGGAAACCAACCATCCCATCAAACTACAGGAAGGAACAGAGAAGTAGACCTACCAGAGCTGAACAAAGGGAGAGACCTCTGCCCCTCAAAGGACAACCAGCTGAGAAGCTTGCCACAGGAAACAAGCAACAGAAGACCATAGAAAACCAATATGGAAAGTTTACCACTGGGAAACTGAAAAAGGGGAAACACTTAAAGTTTGCAACTCATCAATAGCATCAGAAAGATAAGGAATGAGCAACAACCTACCCAGATACAACAGAAACTGCCTCAAACATGTAAAGCACTTCACATAATGTCAAAGAAGTAGTAGGCAGATGTAAACATTATGAAAATAACAAAGCAAGTTTTTGCCTAAAAAAAAAAAAATCAGCTTATGGACCCAGTGAATACCCTAGAGATAGTGAAGTAGGAGAAATATATTGATGTTGAGTTACATGAATTGCTACTAAAGAAGTTACAAATCATGCAAAAAAGAATTTAAGCCATAAATAAAGAGGTACAAGAATTTAAAAATCATCATAAAACAGAGAAGGTGCAATCAAAACAGTATAGAAACAAACAAACAAAAAAGTGTGAAAGTGCAGTCCAAGATATCAAGACAGAAATGACAGAAATTTTCAACTTTCTGGATTGGCAAAAAGGTGGAACAGATGGGATGGAATAGAGAATTAGAAAACAAGAACCTCAATGGGAACTTACTATAAGGAAAAAACAGAAGGAAAATGAAGAAAACATTAGAATCGTATGGGATACCACAAACAGAATAACACATGTGTGATGAGAATTCCAGAACAGAGTGAATGAGAAGTGAGAAGAAGCACTGACAAAATTGTGGAATGGGTAGTAGAATAAAACTTCCCAACTATCATGAAAAGTAAGGAAATTTACTTTAAAGAAGCTTCTTCTTGTTGTTGTTAGGTGCTGTCAAGTATAAATCATAGCAACTCTAGGAATAAAAGATCTGAACTCTTTTCTATCCTGTGCCATCCTCATACTTCCTGACACACAAGAGCCCACTAGAGCAGTCATTGTGCCAGTCCACCTGGTTGAGGGTCTTGCTCTCCTTTGCCAACCCTCTACCCTTCCTAGCACAATGTCCCTCTCTAAGGAATATCCCCTCCTAGTGAATTCCGAGCAGCCTAGACCCAAAAAGAAAAACATGAAGACATATCAGAGTAAAATCTTCCAAAATAAAAGGTAAAGACAGAATACTAAAAACAACAAGAGAAAAAGAAAGAGTTACCTACAAAGGAGACATAATTAGATTGAGCTCTTATTTCTCAGCAGAAACTGTGTGAGCAAGAAGACAATAGGATTATATATACAGAAGGCTGAAAGAAAACAGTTGCCAACTGAGGATTCTGTATCTAGCAAAGATATTCATCAAATATGAAGGAGAAATTAGATAATTTGTAGAAAAGTAGAAACCTAAGGAATTGTGAAAACAAGACCAACTCTATAAGAAATACTTAGGGGAGTCCTTCACAGAGATACAGCAAAGGAAAATGGATGGGCCAAAGTAGCCAGACAAAGAAAGAAAAAGAAAAACAACAAAATCACAGTGATAAATCCTGTCCTGTCAAAATAACACTTAATGTGAAAGAACTAAATACACTAATTAAAAGTAAAGGAGTAGCAAAATGGATACTAAAAACAAAGCCCATCAATTTATTGCTTCAGGAGACACATCTAAGAAATGAGGTGAAAGATAGACTAAAAATCAAAGACTGGAACAAATATAACAAGGAAATGGCATCCACAAAAACCAGGAGTGGAAATACTAATCTCTGATAAAATGTACTTCAAGATGAAAGCTCAACCTCATAGATGTATTCAGGGTAATGAACGCAACAAAAACTCAATTTACTTTCTTTTCAAGTACACAGGATACATTAACCAGAATTGATCATATATTAGTGCACAAAGCAAGCCTCAACAACAACAAGCCACAGACTTGAAAGCTAAATAACACCTAGGGCATTATTGGGTTATAGAAGAAATAAACAGTGAGAGAGGGATGTCCCCCAAAACAAATGAAAATGCATCACACCTAAACCTCTGGGCTATTTGTTGTTGTTATGGTGCATTGAGTCATTTGTTGACTCATAGCGACCCTATGTACAAGAGCTCTAAACGCTCTTCTATCCTGTGCCAACCTAGCCATCTCAAACGCACTTATTCCCACTGCTCCAGTCACAGAATCGATCCATCTCATCGAAGGTCTTCCTCTCCTTCGCCGCCCCTCTGCTCTGCCAAACATGATGTCCCTCTCCAAGGACCAGTCGCTCCTTGCAACATGACCAAAGTATGTCAGACGAAGCTTCAGAATCCTTGACTCCAAGGAGCGTTCTGGCTTCATCTTCTCCAGGACAAACCTGTTTGTTCTCCTAGCAGTCCATGGTATATTCAACACTCTTCTTCAGCACCACAGCTCAAAGGCATCAGTGGTGGTACTGGGGATATTATAACTAATGTTAGATGGATCTTGGGTTTTCAAGAATCCTGGAGGCAAGGATTCTGAGACTCCATCTAACATACTTTGGACATGTTGTGAGGAGAGAACGGTCCTTGGAGAAGGACATCATGCTTGGGAGGGTGGAGGGACAGCACAGGAGGGGAAGACCCTCTATGAGGTGGATTGATCCAGTGACTGGGGTAATCGGGATGGGAGTGTCAGAGACAGTGCTATTGTCACAGGACACAGCCGAGTTTAGGGATGTTGTGCATAGGGTTGCTATGAGTCGCAAGCGACTCGACGGCATGTAACAACAACAACAACAACAGATGGATCTTGGCAGAAAACAAAACATACCAGAAGAATGTCTATCTGTGCTTCATTGACTATGCAAAGGCTTTTGACTGTGTGGATCACAACAAGCTGTGGCTGACTCTGAGAAGAATGGGAATCCCAGAACATTTGATTGTGTTAATGTGAAACCTATACTTGGACCAAGAGGCAGTCATGAGAACAGAGCAAGGAGACAATACATGGTTCAAAATCAAGAAGGGAGTCCGTCAGGGATGTATTCTGTCTCCATACCTTTTCAATCTGTATGCAGAACAGATCATCCGAGACGCTGGGTTGTATGAAGAGGAATGTGGCATCAGGATTGGTGGAAGAGTCATCAACAACCTGCATTATGCAGATGACACAATCCTGCTTGCTGAATCTGAGGAGGACCTGAAGCACTTGCTGCAGAAGGTCAAGTACTGCAGCCTCCTATA